GCAATTATAGTTGTCATTTCTGACAATTTGAATCCAAAAATGCTACCTATGGTCTTGATGATAAATTCATTTTTTGTTTTTTCTTCCATCTGGTAGATATACTAGAATTAACAAAATACAAAGTTCATATTACAAGGCTTTTATCTCACCTATAACCGAAAAGGCCCAAGGCACGAGACATATAAATATCCACCTATGATCCATCCACTAACCAAAAATAATTACGAAGTTAGTGTATTAATCGAAAAGATCTCCAATATTGGCCTATACTTAAAGTCTTAAACCTCTTAATTCGTATTCCCAACCCTTAATTCTTCCAGTTTTCAATTCTCCCCCAAATTCTTATTCTTATCATCTTCTCTATCTTCCCAATTCGTCTTTGCTGAGGTATTCTTCGTTATTTTTGATGGTTTCTTGTGATTGTTTTTAAACTTTGTATTTTTTTTTTTTCATTTTACACTTGATGGGGACTTTTCGTTTGATTTTGATTCATCGTTTGTTGCTGGGTTCAATTCGTATCCGCGAGATATCGTTACATGTTCTGTTTGATTTTTCAATAATTTAGTTTGGGAGTTTCTCAGTTACTCTTGAAGTTAAGTAATCTGTTAAGAGAGGAAAAAGAGTGTATGGAAGATAATGAAATGTAGAATACTCTTGTGAGGAAGAAACGTAGCTTGACTTGTCGACCCGAGGGATTGAATATTTTAGCAACTTCAGATTGTTTCAGTGATGATATACGGGCATTTGATACAAACCCTAGAAGGAAAGAGTTTAGTCTTAGCCAATGGCTATCTAGCTATAGCAGAATCCGAAAGACGAAACAATGATTCTCGTCGTAGAGAGATCATCAATCGAAGCAAACGTTCGACTGGGAAAACATGAACAGGGAAGAGGAAGGTAAATGATATGATCAATGGAAAGGGAACTGCTTTGGGTGAGTTAGATGGTGAAACCAAGAAAATGAAGCTTAGGATCAGTGGCGTGAGTCGGCTGGTTCATGCTAATGGTTCGTCTAGAAAATCTTCAAAACCAGTGAATGATATTTACTCGCTCTAGCAACGATTTGCAGGTGAATTACGCTAGTTTGATCATTTTGAACTGAATCTGGAAGGAGGCAATTGAAGCCATCTGGGATTGCAAATGGGGAAAATTCTGTTAAGAGGAACGCTGTATCTGAGAAGGCGTCCCAAGACATGGATTATGCGGAGGAACTTGAACCTGTGCCTGATGAAAAAGAGATTGGTAATGAGGTTAAGAGGGAATCAACTTTGACTAGTTGTCAACGAGCCCTTGCTTGCTTCTGCATCTGGCAGATCAACCGCGATTGAATTTCTAGATGGATTACCTCCTACGATGAGAAGTAGGGTTTTCTTTTTCTTTTGCTTGTTTGTTTCACAAATATATCTTTTGCAATAAAGGTTCCTAATGTATTGTGTTAAATTCTGTGGAAAACTCTGTTTGGATTGACTCGAATCATGATGACCAATCCATGAGTCGATCTCCCTTATTTGCATAGTTGATTGGATCTGATTAATGTGAACAACGAGACATGAAAAACCAGCTTGTTAGTGAGCATTATAGATAGGGAATGCTTCAAATGTATTGAGAATTGGTCTCTCGTTCTGTTTATAAAGTTTCATAAAACGAGTTCAAAACTGTATCATAACAATGTCTAAGTATTTCTTTTCACAAATCTGCAGTTATCCTTCTCCGTGGGAAAATTGTGCCATGCATGCACCATCCTTACATGTATCGTGATTCGAAGACTAAGGTTCCTCTGTGTAGCTTCAAATGCTACATGCGGTGTTCAAGAGCAGCAACAGGCCGCATTGGTTTAGACATTGATTGATTTTAAGAACGATTAAGCTTCCTGATTTTGATAGATATAGAGACATGGTTTAGTTTAAAAAATGTTTCACCAAACAAATGAAAATCACGAAATCGAAGAAGATGATCTGCTAACCTCTGTTGGCTAGATGAATGGGTGACCAGTCTGCCGGTAAACTAAAGTGTACAATGCAGCCGGACCGATGTTTATGATCGTGTACCTAAACAGACACCAACGGCCCATCGGTTCTTCGTGCCGGATGTTGAATCGCTTCCTTACAATGTTGCATGCTTTTAAGGTTGTGCCTCGAGATGGGCGGTACACCACCGGATTGGATGTGAAGGTAGCAACGAATACCCAAATCCTCTCTTCTTCTGTATTGAATAAACCTGGACATTAAACCAAAATTTGTTAGAAAGTAGAAAGAATTAAACACCAAAAACAGAAAAGATCAGAATTATAAAGTGACCTGGGATAGTTCACGGATCTTGAGAGACAATAAATGGATCATGTGTCAATATGGGAATTCCTAGAGTGGGAGCGTCTGGGTTCTTGAGAAAATCGCTGATCTTGACAAGTAAACGGGATTCGAAATGGTGGAGTGTGAAGATGTTGGAGGAATGAGCCGGTAGATGAAAATTCTCATAGTGGTCAGCTGAAAGAAAGTGATTAAGACTACAATAGCCCATATGTTGTTCATTTTCACACCATCTTTGGATTAATGAATATAGCCTAACCTGTTTTGGCTAGGGAAACGGGTGAGGAGGCAATGAGGGGCAGTACACTAGATAATATAATGCTGATGGTCCATTGTGCAGAATGGTGTAGCGATATAGCCAACACATGGTTCCCATTGGCGTTTGATGGCGAGGTTTAAATCTCCTCCTCACAATATTCCCTCCTCATGTGGCGAAACTTCTCGACCGGCGGTAGATAGCCGGGTGAGGAGTGCAGGTAGCAATGAAACGGGATTAAATCTCCTCCTCACGATATATGTATGTGTATATATGCAATGTATGACTTCACTAATTATCTCCCTGCGACTTCATATCCAATAGAAATTCAATGTGATTTTTTTGTACATTTCGTCG